TCATCAGACCATGAACATTAACAGGAAGCAATTCATCAGTGGTCCACGCAGAATAAAGTCTGCGTGTCCAAGATCCTGTCCTCTGCACCTGTTTCCTCCCATCTTCCAGGACAGTAAATCAGCCCATCTCCATGTGCCTGTGTTTATTTTTCTCTCCATTTCTGCCTCCAGTTCTCCCTGTGGACAGAAAACAAAGTCCTGGTCCTAAGATGAGGACCTCAGAACAGCAGCTGGCCAGATCGAGGGGTTTGCTGCCCTCCCCTCCAGAAAGTTCCCCTTAAGCCTGTGCACACACTTTGGCTGGACTTCGAGGGGTGTTGGTCTGCTCCATGCTCTGTCCTGTTTTGCTGGTGTCAGATTCCAAACAGGACTCCCTCATGCTTGGAGAAGACAAACACGGCAGCTAAGATATTCGGGAACTCTGCCAGTTTGATTGTTTAATATTTGCTCATGCTGTGCATTAAACTGGAATGGGCAGAAAGCACACCCCTGTTCAGGTGGTTCACAATCGAGAACCAGCTGGTTCTCCACGTAGATGTGATAAGAAACACCACGTTTGTTATCCGCCTAATCTTTGCCAAGCATTGTGTCAGGCATTTTATAGGCATTCATTCTAATCCTCACAACAACTCTTAATGGTAGCTATTGTGACTCAGATGTGTAGATGAGAAAACCAAGGCTCAAAAAGTTAAGGCGTTTGCCCAAAGCTTGACAGCAAGAGGCAGAGCTGGGCCTGGATCCGCCATGTGAGCTACAGGATACTTTGTCCTCACCTCCTGGTCAGGATGGGGCAGGAAAGGTGTGGGCCAGTTTGCTTTGACATCTGTGGGGCTGGTAGGTTCGTGCAGATTTTAGGAGAACAGTTAAGTTGATGGCAGCCTTTGTCCTCAGCATCTTCTTGGAATAGAATTCCTGAAAAGGAGTTGAGCTGCATAGCTGTTTTTTCCAGAATCCCTCCGGAGGGATAAATGATAAGTATCGGTTCTCTTTTATACCTGGTCTTGTCTAAAGCATGCACTTATGTCTGGGTTTTCCAGACAGAATGATCAAGTTTGACTTTTGGGTGCATCCATTTTCCCCCGTGACACCCACCTGTGGCCTCAGGTATCATTGGGGCTTGGCTGGTGGAATGAAATGAGCTCATTCAGCTCTGTCCCCAGCAGCACTGGTGTTGGTTGGGCACAGGGAGGGCTGTCATATTGGATAAGCCTCTGGTACCTCCATCCTGGCTTCCAGAGAGGCAGGGTTCTACCACAGGCCTTAGATGTCCTGATCCTGCCTGTCAGTCCGAGGTTAGCATACCCTGGGGCTCACTTGCAAGAGGGGGTGCTGCCCTGCTCCCTAGCAATGCCCCTCTAGCTCTCATCCCAGCCTCGAGGCCAGTCTGCTTCTCTCTGTCTTTCTTGCCCTGACCTTGATGGCCCAGACCCTCCTACTCTGCAGTTCCTGGTCCTGCCTCCTGCCACTGCCTCACATGATAGATTCTACTGGGCAGGTGCAGAGCGTCACAGAATCAGGGGTGAGAGGAAGCTCGAGCTTGAACATTTGCTCTAGTGCAGCGGTTCTCAAGCTGTGGGTCGAGACCCATTTGTAACAACGAAAATACATCAGGGCATTAGGAAGGTTGAGAACCACTGCTCCAGTGGAAAGGAAAGTGATCAAATTAGTAACAGAGCCAGGACTAGAATCTGGATCTTCTGGTTCCCATTCAGGGCTCTCTCCAGGGTTCAAAGGAGCTGGGCTCATTGGGTAAGATGATGCTTAGAATAATATCTGGGAGGCTCTCCCCTGCCCACAGGGCTGTCCCACTGACATCGTTAGTGGTGACGTTTCTGGTTTCCTTCAAATGCTGTGCATGCCAGGGAGGCTTCCTCCCTCTGTCAGCAAGGACACGCTGATGTAGGAAATACTTCCCATGACATCTCAGAGAAGATGATCTTACAAGCACTCTCCAGATTACAAAGCAAACTCTGAGAACTCCGAGATGCCAGGAGGAGGCAGGCATGGCAAGGAGAGCAGCGGTTGGTGTTGGTGTGCAGTGTGCCCGCCACTTGCTCCTTAAACAAACCCACCAGACCTGTCATCAGGCCCACCCTCGCTTTGAGAGCTCCAGAGCAAACACAGAAAGAGGCCCACACGCCATGTGTCTAAATATTTGAAAGTTATAAATCAAGCCAATAAACTGTGAAATAAGGTTTGCTCTTTCCTCCTGACTGACAAATACACCTTCTAACAACCTCAGAGGCCGGGCTTTGATTTGGCAACCTTGGACTCCTGGAACACAGACCGGCAGGGAGGAATGAAGCCTCAGCCCTCCCAGACCTTCCCTCTCTTTACCCAGCCCAAGGCCTTGAACTCAAGCAGGAGGATGGTTCAGCCTGAAAGTCCAGCCTTTGCCTAAACCCCGCAGACCGAGAAAGAGGCCACACAGGCTCAAACGTGGCCCGTTTGTGAAGGAAATTCCTGGGTCTTGGTATTAGGTTGTAGAGTAGAAGGAGGGCATGGCCCCCAGCTCCCTGGCCACCTCGTCTGGGGGCCCATAGCAGGTCTCTCAAACAGTTCTCACAGGCCTTCTTGTCATGGATCAAGAGAGCACCATTAAAATTATTTCCACTGTGCCCGTAGCACAGTGGTTATGGCACCAGCCACATACACCAAGGGTAGTGGGTTCGAACCTGGCCCCGGCCAGCTAAATAACCACAACAAAAAAATCGCTGGGCGTTGTGGCGAGCACCTGTAGTCCCAGCTACTTGGGAGGCTGAGGCAAAAGAATCGCTTGAGCCTGAGAGTTTAAGGTTGCTCTGTGCTGTGAGCTGTGATGCCACGGCACTCTACCTGAGGGTGACATAGTGAGATTCTGTCTCAAAAAAAAAAAAAAAAAATTTCCATTTCATCAGTGAAGTATCTACTGCTCAGAAAACGTAAGTGACTGCTTATAGTCACTTGCTAATCACCAGAAGAGCTGGGACATGACCCAGGGTCAGCCTGATTCCTCATTGCTGGCTGTTGTGATCACCATTACTTGGGACATTTGGCTGGCCTTATGGCCTTGAGTCACTCATAACAGAGAAGCCATCTCTTGACTGGCCCCTCGCCATGCCGGGGTTAACACTGCAGCGCCCTTCCAGACTCAGGGCCTCTGTAGCCATGCCTACACCAGCTCTCCTGGCCAACACCCTCTCCTGCCTCTCACCTGGGTGCAGCCAGCATCTGTCACACCCTGACTTCAGCACGGAGGGGGGAGCTCATGTGACGACTGCTTTGTTAATTGTGTCACTACTAATGAGCTGCCTGCACCTGCCCCCACGCCTAGCACTGGGCGATGGCTTCACTGCGGGCAGAGAGCTGGCCTTGCTGCCTTTAGTCCTCAGCCCCTATCAACCTCCCCAGAGAGACAAGGGCAGCAAAGAGCCAGAGCTTCCCAACACGCCTAGTGACAACCAGGTCTCGGTGGTTCCTGGAACCCTGGGCCCAAGATAGAGAAGCCCCTGCAGAGGGCAGATGGCAGGAGCTGGTGCACTGTGCCTCGGGACTGTGGGTCCCAGCTGCTCTCTAACGCAGGGGAGGGTGGTTACTACCCTCAGTATCCTCTGTAAAGGGCAGAGCCAAATGGGAATTTTGTCCTTCCTTACCTCCTTCAGGGAATATGGGCCAAAAAAGTATAGCAAGGGATGCATAGGTGCCTTAGATGCAGAGCATGGACACTGAGCCTAAGTACCCAGGACCCAGGAATGGCCTTTGAGTAGCTTAAAACTCGAGTGGTTTCAAGCTACTCTCACCTGGGCTCAGGCAGAAGACACTGATTTAGGAGCACGTGTGCCAGGAGTGCCAGGGGGGCAGAGGCCCGTTGGCTGTGCAGGCTGCAAATTCCCTCAGGGGAAGGCAAGTCCCCGCATCCTCCTTTCTTCTGCTATGTTAGTAGCTTTCTAGGGCAAGGGGCTTTTCTCACTGACGTGTCCCAAAAGCCCAGAACAGTGTCTGGAATTTCATGGTGCTGATAAACACCGAACAGATGACGCAATGAATCAGGAGAAGATGAGAGGTACCTGGAGCCAGGGCTCCTCCTTCCTCTGGCCTTCATTTGGCTGGAAAGAAAAATCCCAAAAGGGTAGTGGTGAGGAGGGCAGTGGGTAAGAAGGAAGCTTCCACTGTGCTTGGCTTGCTTGAGTCTGTTTCAGATGGAGCAGGGGAGAGGGCACAGGTCAGAGACAGATTAGCAGATGGAGCTCAGGTGACATTCCAAAGGGAAGTGTCCCAGTGGCTTAGACAGGTAAAGTGACTGGGCCAGGTCTTGGCTCCTGGTCCCAAGTTTGTCTCCCTGGGTAGGTGAGTTCCATCCTCGCCACTTCTCCAAACAGCCCCCACATGCCTCCTCCACAGTCCCCGATGATGCACACACAGCAACACTGAAATATGGTTCACAAGATAACTGAGCCATTGTCTCTGATCAGTTTCCCAGCCACACTTAGGTTTAACACAATAGCCCAACACCATCTCTCCCACCACGCCAGGTGACTCACCATGGGGAACCAAGATGGTGGGTGTGTTGAAAGTAAGGAACTTACTACCCTGTGTATTCATGCACAGTTGTCCAGTGTGGAGCCCGGAGCCATGACAGAGGGGTGGGAGGGGGGTGGCAGTCCTGGCACGGTGTGAGAGAAAAACGGGCACTCTCCAAAGCAACACCAAAGTAAGCCATGGATCAGAGGATGCCTGTGGGGTGGGGAGGGGGCAAGAGATGACACTGACGGAGGTTGGGTGGGGATTCCCTTTAAGCCTTGAGTATGATGGCAAAGACCCTGGGTTTCACTCCAAAGGGCCCAGACAGCCACTGAAGGACTGTGAGCTGGAAGGTGACAGGACCTTGGGAAAACTACTTTAAGTGTTTTTATGGGTAGAAAGTGAAAACCTAATAGAGTTGTTCGGTACCACTCATATTTAAGGAGCTTGGTTCCCGCCAAAAATTCACATCTGCTGACTTTATTGATATGTCCTCTCACCTTTGGCATGCAGATACTGGCAGAGGCATCACGAAGTCTTCATGTGCGTGCGCTTCCCCTGCAGACGGGCCAGATGAGGGAAGCAGGCGTCTCAGGGAGCCTCTGGGGAGGGAAGGAAGGAGGAGGCGATGGGCACAGAGAGACTGGGAGGCGGGCAGCAGCTTCCTTACAGGGCAGCACCTTCTGGTCTGATGATCAAACCCAATGTGGTGGCTGAGGTTGTTGTGCCCTCGGCTTTGAGTGGCTGGGGAGGGGGGTGCCCATGCAATGTGGTATGATGTCCCTAAGACTCAGAGTCTTGCAGCTGTGGGAGCCCACTGCTAGCTGTCTGACTTTGACTAAGCTCCTGACCTCTCTAAGTTTAGAGATCTTATAGGTCACACAGGGGAATATTTCTTGAGTCCTCTATTTCATAGGTTACTGGAGGATCCCAAGAAGCAACGTCTCACTCTTCTTGGGACCCCCCCCTCAAAGGACCACTCTGCAATTACTGGAGGAAGGAAAAGCCCTGGGGTGGCCCTGCCCTCTCTAGCCCACTGATTATTCAAGCACCTGCCATAGTCAGGGTGCCATACAACATAGGAGTCCTCAGAAACCCCAACATGGGGCCATCTTTCCTTTTTAGTAGTATTTCTTAACGTTTCTAATTGCAAAACTATCCATTATAGAACATGAATGCAAGGCTGCAAAAGGTATTTTAAATCCCCACCACCTTGCCCCACAGGGACAGTCCCAGGGAATATCTCTGCATGGACCCTGCTGATCTTTTTCCTATGCACATATATGAATCAGGTATTAGAATGAAAAGTTTCATCACGTGCACAGGATTTGGTGCTCCAATCTTACTCAGCATTAAATCATTAGCATTTTCCTATATCATCCAATATTTTTGGAAATTAACATGTGTATGACTACGCACCATTCCGCGCTGGAGACACAACTCCAGCCGATGTGTTTGACCACTATCCATATGGTCGACGTTAGAGTTGAGTCTGTCCCAACCCAGACTGCTCTTCTTCCTCCTCTGCTCCCCCTTCCCTCTCAACCATTTGCCTCCTGGTCCCCATCACTGATTACCTTCCTGGCCACAGGTATCTGCCAGGCAGAATGGGAGCCACAGAGTGAGGTGCCAAGCCTGCCCTGCACAGGCCACCTGTCAATTCGAGATGCAGGACAACCTCCCCCTACCCCAGAAAGCATCTGTACTCCAGAACAGTGATTTTCAACTGTGTGCCATGGAGGACCTTAGGTGTGCTGCCCAGTAAGCATGTTCTTTTTTTTTTTAACCAACATAACTTAAATGTGCCAAGGAAGCTCAACTATAGGTTCAAGTGCACTGTGAGATTAAAAAAAAAAGTTGAAAAACATTGCTCGGAGCCACATGCCAAATGGGGACTAGGAGGCGGAAGTGGGACAGAGAATGTCCAAGAAGACACTGGAGCACTCACCACCTGCTAGGGCCAGTGATACACCAGCCAGCAGTGCAGCCAAAGCCCAGGGTTCAGCACTGGCACTGTGGCCAAGGATGCCAGTGTCCCTAAGTCTGGGTCAAATCTCCTGCCTGCCCTCCTAGTAGAATGTCCCACATTGCAGGATGACAGATACTAAACAAATGACTTCACAAAGAATTACAACTGGTCCAGGAAAGGATGGTAAGTGGGATTAGTGAGAGGGGCAGGTGTGCAGAGGGACTGGAGTGGTGCCTCGCCCCCACCCCCAGTACACGCAGCTCAAGGCAAGGCCCCAGAGGCAGGCAGAGGCCAACCAGGCAGCGCAGCCTTCTTAGATGACTGGGAGCTTTGAAGGCCTTTGAAGCAGGAGATGCCAGAATTGGATTTCCATTTTAAAAAGTTTGTCCTGGTTGTGGAAGAATAACTGGCTTGGGGACTGCAGAGAGTCAGCGCAGGGAGGCCAGTGATGAGGCTGATGATTGCCTGGGAAGGGCGGTGGCAGGAACTGGGGAGAGGTGGAAGGAGTGGGGGAAGTTTTAGGAGCTAGAACCAAGAGGTCTCAGTCAACGCGGTAACTCTTCTGTTCAAACACCTGCTAGCTTTGGATCATTAACCCGTCAGCGAGGTACCCTGCGCTGGCAGGATGCCTCCTTAGAAGACTTTTTGGGGGAGGTGAGAGCCATCGGGCAGGGCTCCTGAGGAGTCGCAGCGAGCCCCACCTGCAGCAGGGGGCAACCACGCAGGTGCCTAGGCCCCATCCCAACCTCTATCCATGGAGACGACGCCTGCCCTGCGCCCCTAGCGTTGTGAAGAGGGCAGGTTGGATCACCTGGAAAGACCCCGGACCCCAGGGATTTAGGAACCGTGCTTGGTGAGTTCTGGGGATGGGAGGGATGAGGTAACTTCCAGAAACAGCCTCAGGGCTGAGGTACCAGGAAGAGGCCAGCGGTGGTGTCTGGACATACCTGCCTGGACGGGGCGTCCTGGCTGCTGTCCCGCACATGCTCCGGGTGCCCAGAGCTCTGGGCTCCTAAGCATACAGACGCAGCGCCCCGCGGTCGGAGGGGAGCCACGCACTGAGCTGACTCCTCGGCTGGTTTTTACTTAGCCCCTCTGAGCCTCAGTTTCCCCATCCGTCATCTCGAGACGCCCTCCATGTGCCCAGTCAACCGTGGCCAGGATGCCGCTCGCGTCAGACGCTCTGGACACTGGTAGCCGCGGGCCTGGGGACGTCCGGCCGCCGAGGACGGTGCGGGCTCTGGGCGTGGGGCTCCTCCCCACCCCGTCCCTCACCCCCAGCAGGCAGGCTGCTGACACCGGCCCGGCCACTGCCGCGTCGCGGAGCCTGAGGGGAAGCTGCCTCGCCCTCGAGTTTACCGCCCAGCTGGACGCCCGGGTCTGCCTGGGCGGGCGCGGGAACCGGAAGGGCTCTAGGACCCGGGCGCGCTCGGACCCGGGCGGGTGGGGGGCGGAGGCCGGGAGCGCCCCTGAAAGGCTCGGCCGGAGAGCTCCGCCGTCGCCTGGCAACCGCCCTGACGCAACGCAAAAGGAAAAAAAAAAGTCCCTTAAAAAAAGAATAGTGCGGAGAATTCCCAGGAGCACGAGAGGAGAGAGGCGGGAGCCGGCAGAGCCGCCGAGGCCCGACCGGAGCTGGGCGGCGGGAGCCGGCGCCGGAGGAGGCGGGGGACCTCGGCTACACCCCGGAAGGCGGCTCCGGGCGCCCCGAAGGTGGGTGCTCGCCGAGGGGTGGGGACTGTCCCAGGGGGCTAGGGATAGGCGGCGGTGGCATGAGGCACAGGCTGGGCGGGGGGCTTCAGAGTCCCAGGTCCCTAGGGCAGGCAGTGCGGGGAGGAGGGCAGCCGGCCCCCAGGAGCCTTGGTGGTGACACCCTCCCGCCGCCCGCAGAGCTTTGGGGGGCTCCCGGCCCTCAGGAGGAGCGGGACCGCCGCTGCTGGACCCCACCCCTCTCCCTGCTGGGCCCTGCTTCAAGGGCTGAGATTCTGGGTGGAGATTTGGGGTCTTCAGACTGAGAGGGAGGGGCCCGCTCAGATCTCTCCACTTCTTCTCCCAGATAGCTGGTGACCTCCACGGCCACCCTGTCCCCTCTGTCTACTTCAGGCTCAGTGAGATGGAAGTTTCTGTGCCCAAGGATGCAATTCCTAACTCAGAAGTGACTGGGGTCGCTGAGGCCTCAGGGTGCTCTGAGGTCTGAAACCAGCATGATGGGTGGGAGTCGCACTGCCCAAGGGCCTTGGGGGTGGGCAGGTCAGCCATGAAGCTGAGCATCCTGGGTCACCAGGTTAAGGGGTCACCAGAAAACATGGGGAAGCAAGTGTCTTCTGCAGCCAGGTGAGACTGGATGTGGTGCATTTTTGAAAACCCCTTATTACCTGTGTCTGATTTTTATTCCCGATGGTACCTGGAGGCAGCTCTCTGGTATATGTCCCCCCCACCACCAGAAGATCTGGAAGGTGGAGTGGTCCTAGGTCCTCTACAGCCACTACCTTGCACCCACAAGCAGGTTCTCCCAAACCAAGTTTCCACAAACTCCCTGTTATTCCGGGGGAATCTCAGCAGATGAGACGAGGTCCTCCGGCCACTGAGCTATTCCCAAAGTGCAAGAGGGAGACCTAGCTCCAAAAGAGCTTCTCAGGGATGCCCCAGAGAAGGTCCTGTCCGTTGCTAGGCACAGGAGGGAGAGTGCAGAGTGCTGGGCCTGGGAAATCAGAGGTGGCCGAGGTGCCCAGTAGCCCCACCATCTCCGCTGTGGGGGAACTTTTGCAGCATGTTTTCGAGGCACTTGACAGAGCAGCCTGGCACTGAGCTTAGAGCAGGTAAAGGGGACAGCTCTTCTTTCTTAGAGCCTTGACCCCCATCCATCCTTGGGTCACTTAATCCTCACTAAGGGGATGTTACTATCTCTGTCTTACCAATGGGACTCCAATAAGTTAAGCAACTTGGTGCAGCTCACACTGGCTGATGAAAGAGCAGAGATTCAGTCTCTTGTACCTGACTCCTAAGACTCCTGAGCCCTTAGTGGTCTCAAAAGGAGACTGCTTTAGGAAGTCCAAGGTGACTAAGATCTGGAGACGGAAAGAAACCAGCCACACCCAAATGACATGACTGGGGGGTTTGTCCCTTGACCTGAGAAGGTACCTCCCATTTCAATGGACCCCAAAGAGCCAGGAGGCCACTTCTTGTATCAGGACCCTGACAGGCTCTGCCATCGAGACCAACCAGCCTCAGTCCTTCTCAAGTGAAGCCCAAAAGGGGTCTTCCCTACACCCTGTTCTCCTTGCCTACCCAAAGACTCCTGGCTCCCTGTGCACTTGTTCCTGCCCTTCTGGTCTTCCCAAATACATACATGCATGGATTTCTACCAAATTTCCAGCCCCACCTTCACACCTACCAGCTTGGTCTCCCTCCAGGAGGGACTCTGGCTAGGAAATAAATTCAGACCTCACCTCACTATTGTCCTAGAGAGACCCACAACAGCATAGGCCAGTGAGGAGGAAACTGCCCTTTGGACTCCTGGGGCTTGCCCTCCAGCTCCTGCTCCTGAGCTGGCTGTTCTCCAGGTGAACC